AGGAAGAGGGGGCAGGAGAGACAGCGAAGCCGGGCGGGTGAGAGGGCCTGAGGGACGGGAAACGGGGCGAGAGAGAGGGAGAGGCTCAGGAGGAGGCAGTGGGGCGGCTGGGGAGAGGAGGCCAGTGGCGGGGTGGGTGTAGCGGGGCCTGGGCGAGGATGGAGGGGGGCGGCGAGGCAGGAGAGCTCAGCAGACGGAGGGGGGGCTGGCTACTTTGGGGGCGAGCAGAGAGAGCAGGATTTCGGCGGAGTTGGAGGGTGTCAGGGACTCGGGTGGGGTGGGCAGTGCCCCGGCCGGGTCAGTGGGGAGAGGGCCAGGAGGCTGTGGCCGCTGTGGGGGAAGCAGGCGGAGGGAAGCGTCTCAGATGGGATCAGGGAGCACGGGGCGAGACGTCGGGGGCTCCTCCTTTATAAGCTTAAGACTGCTGCTTCTTCTACCCTTCACCCCGTAGGGAGCAGGGGACTCGAGGGAGGGGAACAGCCCCCACACCACCCTGTTCGTAGTAGGGGAGGGTTTGGGATTCGCCCCACCAAAAGCTCTGGGAGGGCAGCATGGCTCGCGATTTAAGCCCCGTATAAATTTCAGACACAACATGGCGGCCTGGCAGTGACTGGGCAGCAGCACCTCGCCCTTGTAGCTGGGTTTTCCCCCGCTGTGGAGCCAGTATTCAGTGTCTCGAATCTGGTGTCTAAACCCTTGCATTTAGCGATTTCGACAGTAGATGAATATTGCGATCATTAGAGAGGGCATGACGGGGAGATTTTGGTGGAGGGTTGGGTTTTTTGGGGGGTAGTTTAAAGGAATGAAAGTAAGGTTAAATTTATAGCATGCAAATTGTCCACTTCTGAAAGGCTAAATATAACGACTTCTAAGTATCAGTTAAGATAAGGCTATTTTCCCAGTGTGGTCCCTGTGAGATATTAATTTGGGGGTGGGGGGTGGACACCCTTATCTTATAGAAAAGTTTGTGGGTGAAAGGTGATCATCTGCTCCGGATAGAGAAGCGTGTGTGGTGGTGATGGGGGTTGTTTTGCTCTGCCTGATTAGAGAAAATTCTGTGGGCTTGGGATAATCTATGGATTTCAGGTGATCTGTGCCCTGAGTTATGCTAGTGTTGTGTGCGTACTTAATTTATTTTGGCTAGAAAAGTTTATTGGTTGAGGATGGGGAAGAAGAAATTCTCCCTGACTGTAAAAACTGCAGCAGCCTGTAGGATCCTAACATGGCGTCTGAAAGGCACATGATATAAAAAGAAGGGAAAGAGGAGGCTCCCTCTGAGCCCAGCCCAGGCAGTTGCTGACATCAGTCAGCCACAGCACATGGATGGGGGTTTACAGCACCTTTTTAACTAGAGCATTTTGTAAGAAAAGGGTTCTTCTTTCAGTCCCCCCCTATTCGTGCCAGTCACCCCTCCCCCGTTGTTTCCCTTGCTCCCTCTGATCTCAGGTGTTCACAGGCTTTTTTTCCTTTGGCTTTAAATCGTGGTTTATAATGGTGAGAATTGTACTATCTAATGATGGGGAGGGAAGGATCTCTTAAGTTATTTAATCTTATCTTTCTGTCAATGCAGGATGGCTTTTTAGTGTTCCACAGACTTCTTCCAGTCTAGTTTTAAATGCTGCCGGTGGCTGAGTTTTGCCATTCTTTGGGGAGGTGACCTCATAATCTAATAGATCTCACCATTATATCTCCTAAAGGGCAGTGGATGTGTGTAAAATGATTTGTGATAAATATCAATGCTGTCTTTTTTTTTTTTTTTTTTTTTTTTCATTTCTGGGTGATTTAGAGCCTGCCCTGAAGTGTGTTTTTTTTTAAAGATGTCTTAAATCCTGTATCAATGGTTAGTTTTGCCTAGTTACTGTTTGTGACTGTAGTTTATTCAAGGCAAGTTTTTAGTTGTTTCTGGGAAAGTGATCTCCTTTACTAAGCCACTTTTTAAAAGTGTTGCCTGGAGACAGTTTGTTTAGTGTAAAACTTGAGTGGTCTGCTTTACAATTTAATAAATGGTTCTGAAATGTGTGACTGGTATTATAATATTTGTAAATAAAAAGTGTGAAATATGTATTTGTCTTTTTATTTACCATTGTATAGTGCAGAATTTGTTTCTGAGACCCATTTTGTATACAAGGTTGTTTTTTTTAAAACAAACTTTTGGCACAAGTTTGTGACTTGGGGTTCAATTGCCAGATATGATTTTAAACTTGAACTCTTTTAGGAAACTAATAAAAAAGCCACACATTTCCAACAATAGCTTTCCTACATTATTTGAAGGAACAGTGGGAATTCTGTAATGAAGTCTTTAATATTATGCTGGTGAGCTCAGAGTTAGCGTTCTGTGTTCTGGTGATTATGCGGCACCTCCCTGCCTTTTGGTTAGTGTCATGCGGGCATCTTTCTTGCTAGGGGAAACTGTATAGATGGTCTGAAAACAAAATACATTCAAGTCTGGGATCCCCTTTTGTGGTTTTTGGAATATGTGCTGGATACTTTGACAAAATAAACATTTCCAGAAGAGAAGACTTAAATATTCCAACCGTATTTAAGTCATGGTCCTTTAAAACGTGACACCCGAGTAGCTTATATTTGAAGCAGGGTATGCTGCTGAGCTTCTAATTCTGTTTGAAGTAGGCTTGCTTACTAGATAACGGTGCTTCCATGTATGATGACTTTTTAACAGCCTGAACATAATGAAAGTGACAGTTAAACTTGTACAGTGCCTTTGCTACTGTATGGATTCCCCAGTGTATCAGACTTGAAGCTTAGCTTAGTGAGTTACTTCCATACATTGGTGAAATGGGCGTAGGTACTTGTGAGACAGCTCTTTGTTTCACTTAGCAGCTGACTTTAAAAGTCAGAAACAGTGCACTGTCATTTTTTTAGAAAGGAAGGCATTCAGAGCTTAGAGTAGTGTTTTTAATGTGCCATTGTGCAGACTGCTTTAAAGAAGAAACCATTATTCCACAGGCATTTTAATATAAAGTAGTTGTAGACCCACAGTCTTTGATTTTTGAGACTAGAGAGATGCCTTTATTCTAACACTTGCATATTAGCTTGTTTACAGTTCAGTGTTATGTCATAGTGTAAGATAGGCTTTTAATATGCTGCAATAAGTTTTAACTAACCTAACTGCGTTTTTCTGCCTTTTTTTGTACAAAATACACCACCTGCCTGTTTTTACTTTTTTCAGTATGCTCAGAGGCAGTGACACCACCCCCACCCCCAACTAACAGGAATTCTGCCCTTTTCAATATTAAATTTCAGGTCATGGTAAAGTAATACACATTTAAGGGTGAGGAGACATTGTGATTTACCCATATTACAAGTATTGTTGACTCGGTGCCCTTCTGTGAACTACCTTAAAGGGGAAGAAATGCCATCTAAAATTGTGAAGGAAGAGCACTTTCACACACTTGTCTGGACAGTGGGGCTGCAAAGTAAGGTGTTGTTAATTAACCTAGGAGCCTATCCTGTTTAAAATGAGCAGTGAGTGAAGTTATTCTGGTTTTATCCTGAGCTTACCGGATGGTGAATGGGACTTTAAAGTATTACAAGTGGATGCTCTTCTAAGGGATCACTGTCACCACACGGCTTGTGGTGTTGTCTTTCGTGTTGTCCATTTCAACAAGTCTGTGTACTTGTTGATGTTTTCTGGAACTTTGCTGTGCCTTCTGTTTGTGAAAGCCAATGGTGGGCATTAAAATCACCTTGGTTTGGGCTGGTAGTGCTTTGTGTACATTAGAAGACGCTGTAGTGGTCCAGCATCACCACACTTCTATGGAACAAACTTGCTACAAGTTTTGAAAAAGGATCTAAAAAAACCCAAGACCAAAACAACAAAAGCCAAGTCTCCTCTTGTAGCAAAGATGTGTCCGAAGTTTGAAGATTCCTGTCTGTGAAAATCACGGTTGCAGTTCCTGAGCTTGTGCGTTTACCTGGTCAAGTAGATGATTGGAGTTTTGTCTGGATTTTGAACTTTTTGACTGTGCATTTTTGCATGCACTCTGGAATTCTGAACTGTCACTACAGGTGACAAGAGAGAATGGGACTCCTTGCTTCATCTGTTTGGATTACAGTGAAATAGTTGTGACCTATTCTGCGTGTAGTTTATGAAAAGACTGTGATACTCAACATATAATCTGCAGCTACAGAAGTTCACTAGTTTGGGCTATTTGCCAGAAGTCTGATTTGTGTTCTGTGAAATCCAGAAAAACAACCATTCAGGAGGTTTGAATTATAAACTATTTTTTAGAAGTTCCTTGAAGTGCTAACGATGGTTTCCTGCTAACTTAAAGTTATTTTCTCAAGTGGGTTTTGAAAGGTTACACTCAGTGCACTAGCAGCAATACTGTCTTGTGGGCTTCTTTTTTCTTCTTTTTTTTTTTTTTCCTTTTTCCAAAGCTTTGATACGCAAACAAAATAAGGTGTTCTTTTTTTTGTGTGATAGACCCACTGCGTTATACTTTGAACTGAGTATCGATTTTCCAGATTTAAGTTTTTGTATAAACAATCCCAAGCCAAATCCCTTGGTGTTTATAGTGGCAACCAAAAAGAGAGGTCTGTATTTCTGGGACTGGCAATCCCTTTATTTAAAAAGCTTAAAATATGTTTTTGTTGTACTAAACTTCTCAGTTTCTTCTTATTACTCCAGGCTCCTGCATCAGAGAAGCTCCCTGTTATGTACCTTATGGATTCCATTGTCAAGAATGTGGGAAGAGAATATCTTACTGCATTTACTAAAAACCTAGTTGCAACATTTATTTGTGTATTTGAAAAGGTATATACACTTTCAGAAAAGTTCTGTATTCTAAGCAAAATTTCTTCCTGGTAAAATAAATACATGCTTTCAGTTTTGGGTTTTCTTGGGTGGTGAAATACACAAATGGATCGTTTTTTATAAATCTCAGTACTGTGTCTATACTGTGGAAGATTATTCCTGCTGCTATCAAGCATGTAAATGACATGGTAGCTGAAGAATGCAAAGTCTTACTTAATTTGATTCATAAACGTCTGTAATTTTCCTATCCAGGCAAGATTTTACTAACAGTATTTTGGGTGCAGATTGCTTGCCTGGATGGACTTTTTGTGATGTATAGACCAATTAATTATGAATTGTTGGTTTATTTTTAAGATAGTAAATAGTTCTTATGAGAAGAACAGACCGAGAATCAGTTTGTTGTGAATTTCTCAGAGCTTCTCTCTCCTGTAGTTAGATTTGGTCTGATCTACTTAATTTGTGGTGTGCAAAATGAGCACTTAAACTGTTTGTCTAAGATTGAATAGCACTGATACCTGATTCTCTCCTGGTGGTCTGTGATTTGAATGAAAAAAATGCTAGGGGGGGGAAGGGGTCTTAGAATGTATTGCTATATTACTTAATACCTGTTTTAATGTCATTCAACATTGAAAATTGCCATATCTTTTAATTTTTGCTCTTTAAACTCAGTGAAGTAATTGTGCGTATTCCTCAGTGAGAAAGGCAAATCAAAGTCGCAGTTTTTAAAAGGGTGGGTTTAAGTTGGATCAGAAATGAAGGGTTAACTTCTGTGGTCTCCTGTATGCTATAAGAAAGTGGCATCTCATATGAATGAGATGAATGGAGCTTTTGCATATTTACTGATCATTACGTATCAGCAAGGATCTGAGATCCCAGTGTGGTTTATATATGGTTTTCACATGTAGAATGCATGATGAAATAAGGAACAGATAAACAACTGTGTGTAGAGTAGATAGATAGCTAGACACTTGTTTTTCCCATACTAAATTGTGAATTTTATTTTACTGAGCTGCATTTAATGTTGCAGCTGAAGCTCTGGATAATAACTAATCATAGTTTTACAGGTTAAGTGTCTACCAAGCTAACTAGAACTATTTAATTAATGTGTATTAATTAAATTTGTAGAGTGGCAGTCACTTCTAATAGCTTAATTTGTCGTGCTGAAAGATGCAAGCAGAATTCCAGCACTGACATTGTTAAAAATTTTGGTTTAGCAGTAAAATGGTCACTAAGGTGTCTTTAGACACTTGAAGTCAGAAGCTTTTGCTCAGTCATTTCCACACCTTTTGCAGTGAACTTCATACCCTTTCACTGAAAACTGTAGAGGCACCCCCCCCAGTAGCTAAGGATGAACAATTTTTGTTGAAGTTCCTGCTCCTCCCTGAAAGAACCGCCGAACTTTCCAGATTATTCTGTATCTTGCTGTAACATTTTAAAAATAAAACTGCAGCAAAAACCATCTACACAGTCAGTATTTGACATTAGGACAGCTGCATATATTTTGTCCTCAGATGTGTTTAATTTGTTTAATTGAACTACTCAAGCTACGAGATTTAATTTTGCTTTACTGTAAATTTCTAATTTATCTGTCATGAGACAATCCAGACTAACCATGAATAGATAAAAGAGGCACTGCTCCTACAAGTACGCTTAATCTGTGACTCACGGATGGGTCTAATTTTGCAGCTGAACTGAGATATAATTGACTTCATTTTAGCTAATACCCCTTTTGTTGTGTTTGTTGGAAGAAAATCCTTCAGTGACTAAACAGCTGAGCAAAACACCTTTTCTGTTCACAAAGTTTGTTGTTTCCTGATTTGTTTGTCATTGTTATACTCTGTTCAGCACAAACACTTGAATAATGTATTGTCTCAGAGGCTGTTGCCTTTCAGTATTTTTGTTACTGTATTTTTTCCACAGAAATTGGGCAAGTAAAATGAGAATTTTGCTAATGGAAAAGTTGAAAGAAAATTATCAGAGAATGGTAATACCCAATAAAACCTTCAAATGGCCTTGAAACAACAATTCCACATTTGAGCTTCTGTTATCTGATTCTGTTGGTATAGATGTATGATCTGCACTGCTTATAAATTCTGTATAATGTGTTAAAGTGGCAAACTGTTGATAGCAATAGTAAATAAATGAAGTCTTAAGTTCTACAGAAAAGTTTAAGAAATCGTTTTATATTAACTTAACAAGCCATAGAATTGTTTTATTGTTTTAGGTGGATGAAAATACTAGAAAAAGTTTATTTAAATTACGCTCCACATGGGATGATATTTTTCCTTTGAAGAAACTATATGCACTTGATGTCAGAGTCAACTCATTAGATCCTGCTTGGCCAATTAAACCTCTGCCCCCAAATGTGAATACTTCTAGCATCCATGTGAATCCTAAGTTTTTAAATAAATCGGTAAGTTTTTATGCCTACTGTATGAACAGATGGTAATACGTGTAGTTTTCATTGTTTGTATGCTGCTTTTTGCAATTTAGTATATTGAGAATGAAGTGTCTGACCTTTGTAGACAGGTAAGAGGAATTTCTGAATTCAGAATATTTCATGGGTTTGGATTTTATATTTCAAATCTGTATTCTAGGTTTTGGAACATTGAGGACTTTATATTAAATGACATCCACCTGTCACAGCAGGCAAAAGTTTTAAATTGTTTTAGTTATATTTTGCATTAAAAATGCAATTTATAACTGTTGTACAAACTAAGTACCAGTACTGGATCATGATAACAGTTAAAGGAGATGGAGTTAGTGGATTACATCAGGATTTTAAGTGTAACTTTTTTTATTCTGTTTTTAGCCAGAGGAATCTACTGCACCTACCTCTGCTGTCACTTCTGGTGCCTCTACTCCTCCAGCTGTTCCTGAAATACAAAAGAATTTGACACAGGAGCAACTGATAAGGCAGCAATTGCTTGCAAAGCAAAAGCAGTTGTTAGAACTTCAGCAAAAAAAATTAGAGCTGGAGCTGGAACAGACTAAAGCACAGTTGGTGAGTAGGATAGTTGATGAAATTACGGTTGGGCCTTTCACTCTCAGACAGTACTTGACTAAAGTGGTAACTGCAGTACATTAGTTTTGCTCATGTTAGGCAAGTGTAGCTATTCTAGGACTAGAGCAATGCAAGTTGATCTGGGGTTCCTGAACAGTATTTGTTACTTAGAAACCTTCAGAGTTACACTCAAAAGTAGAAGTAGAAAAAACAAGTTCTTTGTGGTTTGTTTTTAACGTCTGTCCAGAATGATGCTTACCTATGATCCTCATCTTTCACCTCTTCTTGTGGCTTACAGGAAGACAGGCTTTTTCAAATACATTTGCTCTTATAGAACAAGGAAGCCTGACTGTTGGAAATAGTCAGTTCCCTTGTTAGGTCAGGTTGGTTTGATGCCACCATCTGAAGATGGCGCTTAAGCTGTATTGGTTCACATTTGTAATTGAAAGTCTTGCTATGTTGACAGTTGATGATACCAAAATAAAGCATCTTTGAAGTGTAGAAGTATGAAAATTGTATCAGATACTTGGCAGCTTAGTTGCTGTGAGCATGTGGAATATATAGAAAAAAGTAATGCTGTAATGAGAAAATCTGCCTAAGTTACATATTTTGCCATATTGACTTGTAGTACTGATTTTGCATTGTATTTGAATTTGATCTTTTGTAATGGTACTGCATTATTTTAATGCTTATAATTAGCAATTAATGGGTCATTTTCAGTTAAATGGCTGAATCTTACCACTTTCAAGACATTTCTACTTACAGTTTTGGTTTCCAGACAGTATACAGGCATCCTGGGGTAGTTGTGTCATGCAGATTAATGCTGGGTTTTTTCCTATTTCAGGCTGTATCTCTTAGTGTTCAGCAAGGATCATCTACTATAGCTTCAGTTCCAGCACCTTCCAAGCAACACGTGTCTCCCACACCTCATATGACAGTTAAACCACCTCATCAAACTGCTGTGCAATCCGAAAAAAATAAACCATCCCCAAGTCCTCCGCTTCATGATATCAAAATAGTAAATAGGGATCCTCGACTTAATCGGATGGCTCAACATTCTTCTCACACTAAAGATCAATCTCATCGGAAAGAATTTCCACCGAACACGACCAGTCAGTCTGATACCAAGGCAAACAAAACAACACAGGCTGAAAAACAAAACTCAAAGCAAGAAAAATTAAAAGCAAGTGAAAAAACACAGAAGAAAGAACTTGACCAGTCAGAAGCAAAATCTAAATCACCATCTCCTTTGAAAAATAAGATACCCAATACTAAAGATACTAAAACCCAGGAATGTGAAAGCACAAAAGTATCTGAAATTAGTAAGCGGGATCCAAGACTGAAAAGACATCTTCAAGATAAGTCAGAGGGCAAAGAGGAGGAGATAAAAGAAAAGAGGAGAAATATAGAGAAAAAAGAAAAAGAGGAACATAAGACATGTGAACATAGACCAGTAGGCAGCAGAAATAAAGTAATTAATGGTGCTGTTCAGAAACAAGACACAAATACAGAGGAGTCAGAAAAACAGGGTGGAAAACAAGGGAGATCAAGTGGTAGAAAGCGATCACGATCACGGTCTCCTAAGGCACGGTCACCATCTACACATTCTCCAAAAAGACGAGAGAGGAGATCACCCAAAAGACGACTTAGAAGTTTATCTCCCACTTCATCAGCACCTAAAATTGGAAAGATACGTCAGATAGGCCCTAAGCAGTCTCATGTTGAAGAAGGCACACAAGCAGCAAGAGATGAAAGAAATTCTAATAAGAGAAATGTTAAACAAGAGGTGCGAGATCCGAGGAGAGTGAAAAAAGCCCAAGAAGACAGGCCTCAAGAAGCAGCAAGCCAGCATTCCACAAAAGCTTCTCCTGATCCAAAAGAGAATGCAGAAAACTGGCAAGGATCCAAATCAGGCAAGAGGTGGAAATCTGGTTGGGAAGAAAATAAAAAGTAAGTTACTATCTTTTTAAACAATTTCTGTTTGAAGTCATTCTACTGCTGTCTTCAGCATAGTCATCTTTGGGAGGCAGTGTTCAGATTGTTAAAACTGATTAATTTATTTCTACTAGTGAAATACGGAAATGGCGCATACTTAGATTTTAAGGTGATAGTGATGTTTTGTCCTGATCATTTCTAATTAAGAATGTAACAGTTAGGTCCTGAATAAAGAAGTAATCAATATTTTAAATGTATGCTTGCTTTCAGCTCCCAGCAGAATGAAGAACACCAAGCACTTGGTAAATCCCCTCACCAAAGACACCGGGAAAACTGGCCTAATAGTAAAGGAATTTTATCACCCCGAGCACCAAAGCAGCAGCACCGGTTAAGTGTGGATGCCAATTTACAGATTCCCAAAGAATTGACATCTGCAAGCAAGAGAGAGTTACTTAAGAAGGTAATACTAATAAATCTGTTTCCATAGAAGCATCTTTGGTATTGTGTGCTTTGCTTTTCTTTTTGGAAGCCTGAACTTTAACTTTATATTACAGGCCAATGAACGCTTAACATCTGGTGAAATAACACAAGATGAGTTCCTCATGGTAGCTCATCAGATCCGACAGCTGTTCCAGTATCAGGAAGGGAAGCACAGATGTAGTGTCTGGGATAGCCCTACAGAGGAAAAATGTGGTTTGAAAAAGAAACCTCTTCTGTCGGATGCAGAATTAACATATTATGAACATAAGGCTAAACTAAAAAGAACACAAGTCCAGCATTCATTGTCAAGGCTTGATCTGTTGGATCCAGATGATATTTTGGAATACCATATACCTGATTCATTGCTTTCTGGGATAGAATGTGAGCAAGCAAAAGCCAAGCGTGGAGTACAGTTTGACAGGAAAGAACCATTTGGAGAAAGATCAAGGAGACACTCTCCTGTAAGTGGCACTAATAGACCTTTTGCTGATAACCTCTCACCACTTGAGAGTCGACGAAGACTTGAGGAACAGAATTCAACTAAAGGAGCAAGAGGTTCTAAGAACTTTGATCCTTACGACAGCTGGGGAGAATCAGATGAATTTAGAGATACTCTCAGACAACAGGGGAAAAGCACCACAGAGTTCCAGAAAATAGATGGTGATGCAATCTGCAGATTTGATAATCGTGAAGAAAGACAGCTACTTGGGCAAGCTGGTATGTGCTTTTGCTTTACTTTATACCTGTTAAGTAATGGGCAACATTTTAGTGAGTGGCTATCTGATCTGTTCTGGTTTTTTTAGGTGTTCGAGAGGAGCCAAGATCACCATTCAGTGAACGTTTCAAAAGAGCTAGATATGAAGATCCAGAGAAAGCACCATTTCCAGAAAGCCCAGGATCACGATTTGGAGGCATTGAAGCAAAGCAGAGGATAAGTGCGCTAATGGAAGACAGACCTCTATTTGATGGCTCACCTAGGCAGGCTGCTTCCAGAGTTGGAGTAGATGGACAGGGAAGCCCTTTTGTTGATGGTGCTGCTGCTGGTTCAAGTTCTAGAATTGATGGGCCACCTGGACAGGCTGCTATGAGATTTGAGGGGCCTTTGGTGGGGGCAGGTGCATCTCAGTTTGATGGACCACTGGCAGGAGCAGGGGGAGCTGGAGCTCTAAGATTTGATGGGCCACCAGGGCAGCTGGCAGGGGGCCTGAGGTTTGAAGGACCACCAGGACAGGTTGGTGGTGGAGGTCCACTGAGGTTTGATGGACCTCTTGGGCAGATCGGTGGGTCTTTGCGGTTTGAGGGGCCTGCAGGGCAGCCTGTAGGTAGTCCTAGATTTGAAGGAACTGGAGTTGGCCTCAAGTTTGAGGGTCCCCGTGGCCAGCCTTCAGGTGTTCTCAGGTTTGAGGGACTTCATGGTCAACCTATGGGGCCTCGAGGTCAGCCAGGGGGTGTTCTCAGGTTTGAGGGACATCATGGTCAGCCCTTGGGGCCTCATGGTCAACCAGGGGGTGGTCTCAGGTTTGAGGGGTCACATTTACAGCCATTGGGGCCTCATGGCCAACCTGGAGGTGGCCTCAGATTTGAGGGGCAACATGGTCAGCCTATGGGGCCACATGGACCATCAGGTGCTGGGCTGAGATTTGACGGGCCACATGGACCATCAGGTGCTGGACTGAGATTGGAAGGACCACATGGTCAGCCAGGTGTAGGTCCTAGATTGATTGATGGACCAGTACACCAGGGAGCTGGTGGACATAGATTTGATGGTCCTCTGGGTCGGGCTGGTCCAAGATTTGATGGTTGTCATGCAGCTGCATTTGATGGTCAGCCTGGACAGCTGCCTCTCTTGCAAAGATTTGATGGAATTCATGGACAGCCTGGTCCAAGATTTGAAAGGACACCTGGCCAACAGGCACAACCACGATTTGATACAGCCATACCTCAAAGATTTGATGGACCTCACCAGCCAGCCTCTAGATTTGACTTGCCCCTTGGCCTTCAAGGTGCACGTTTTGAAAATGTAGCTAACCATCCTGCCTCAAGATTAGAAATGTCACCATATGGACAAGGTGGTCCATTTGTCGAACATCCCGGCCAGGGCTACAATGGACCATCTCATGGGATGCCGTTCCAGAGACCTGATATATTTGATGGTTCACCTGGATCAAATTTCAATGGGCCAGCTGGCCCAGGAGCACAGAATTTCCCATTGAGACCAGCTGGACATTACTTTGATGAAAAAACTCTTCAGGGTCCTCAATATGGGAACTTCAATAATATGCCACTGGGAAGTAATCAGGTAAGAATTGATTGCGTTAAATGGCACGCTTGCAGAAGTAGAATGTAGAAAATTAGCACTTTTTCTTATAAAAATTGAAGATTTTTCTGAAGAGCTGGCAGACTGAGAGCCAGTTCCAAGTTTAAAAAGTCATCCTTCAGTAATTTCTACATAATTCAAGAACATGCATTGCTGTTTTTATTTAAGAACCTGCTTTTAAGAATTAAAATAGTGGGTCCTTACAATTACTTTGTAGCTGAGAATGAGAGTGAAATTAGTATTTTTTAAATTGAAAACAAAACTAAGTAATTGGAAGCCTGTGGTGTTTCCATTAAACTTGCACAAAAGTGGATTATATATAAAGTGTGACAGCTAATGTTAGTGAATATACATGATTAATTTTTTTAAGAGGTTGTCGTGGTTTGAATCTGGCCAGCAGCCAAACACCATGCAGCAGCTTGCTCACCCTCCCCTATCCTGGGGAATGGGGAAGCGAATTAGAGGAGTAAAGGTAAGAACATCATAGTTTGAGATAAAAACAATTTAATAATTGAAGTAAAATAATAATAATGATAATAATAGAAAATATGAGTAATGCACAGTGTGGTTGCTCACCACCCACTGACCAATGCCCAGCCCATTCCTGGTTAGCTATCCCAGAGAAGTGAGAATTCTGAAACTGCAACCCTGGAAGAGAGGGTCAAACCTCATCTGTATACTGAGCATTGCTCTGGCTCTGCTCTGCGCAACCCCACCCCCCCAGCTTCTTGTGCACTTGCAAAAGTCCTTGATTTCTTAGCAACAACTAAAAACATCAGTATAGTATCAACATTCTTCTCATACTAAACCCCGTACTGAATCCAAAACACAGCACTGTTCCAGCTACTAAGAAAAAACTGGCTTTATTCCAGCCAAAATCAGGACAGAGGCGTAGAATTAAAATGGACCAAAATAATTCTGCTGTATTTTGCAGCTGTTAGTACTGGTGACAAGCCAGTTTCAAGGAGATGGCCCTAACTTGTGGGAATTGAGAAAGATGGAGATATTGTTGAACTATAGTCTTAAAATTTTCCTGGCACTAGCATGCTTTATGAGTTCAGTTATTTCTGCTGTTGCCTATTGGAAATGCTCTCTTCAAAACGGGAGAATGCTACTTTACATCAGTGAAAATGATGTAATTTCTTTCAGTAGAGATTTTGGAGAGCATTTTTAATTTGTGGAATAATAATTGAGGAGTTAACTGGCTGTACGAAAGCAGGTAATGTGTCCTGCTAACCTCTAGTGGGATAAAATTTTAAACAATTTGTAAATCCAAAAAATAGGAAAAATTTATTTTTATTACAAGTGTGTTATAAACACTTTTTCTATCTGAAGCTTACTGTAGCTGGTTTGCTGAAAAAATCTGCTTTCAGGATTTTTGTTTTTGTATAATGGATGCTAAAATAGAGATGGCATTTGTTAATAGACATTTACCAGTTTCTCAGATTTCTTTCTGATGAGCTTTGCTTTGGTGAACAGGAGCAATTTAAAAGGAAGAACTGTGCAAAGTGTGATTGAAGGCTCAATAGGTAGAAGAAAAGTTTTTTTTTTTTTTTTTTAATGTTGGGCAAAATGAGTATATGTTCAGAAATTTTTCTAGTGGAAAATGAGGGAAAGGTTATGTAGTCATTTGCAGACCTTTCAATAGTAAACGGACATAGTTCGCTCCAGGAAGGAGTTTAATACGTATGAAATTATTGAGAAACATCTAGAGGTTAATGATAAAATTTTAAAAAGAAAATTTAAATTGCATTATTATACAAAAAAACCCCAAACCTGAATGTTTGCTTTCACAGGTTCCTCTTATGTCTGCTCAACCAGGGCCTTATGGCCAAGGTCAACAGTATTTGCCAAATCCTGGAAGTTTTGTTCAGAACCCTGCAGGTGCGTAAAAAAAAAATTAACTTCCTTATATTTTTTTGGATTGTTCTGTTAGTTGCCATAAAACTTAAGCCTTTTGTAATGAATGCCCTGGTGTACTAGGTCTGTGTGGATTAAGGGAAGCCTCCTCAGAGAGGTGGCCATAGGTGTGGTTTCTGTAGTACCATCATCTCTTCAGGGGTTTCCCTCAAACAGTGAAGGCTTTCATTAGTTTTCATTAACTATGTGGATTTGCTGTGTAGTTGTGCTAAAAAAAAAAATAAAAATTGGTCTGCTTTTCTAGAAGGCACCAGTTTGTAGGTCTGGCTTGCGTTTGTGAGGATGTGCAGACATTCCCAGTATATGAGTTGTTAGTAACAAAAATCTTCTAAAAAGTCATAAATGGTTAAAGTAGGTGTAGTAGATTTGGCCCTGGTGAAATATACTGGGTAAAAAACTGGCCAGATGGCTGGGCCCAGAGAATTGTGGTGAATAGACATAAATCCAGTTGGCGGCTGGTCACTAGTGGTGTCCCCCAGGGCTGGGTGTTGGGGCCACTCCTGTTTAACATCTTTACTGATGATCTGGACAAGGGGATCGAGTGCACCCTCAGTCAGTTTGCAGGTGACACCCAGTTGGGTGGGAGTGTTGATCTGCTCGAGGGTAGGGAGGCTCTGCAGAGAGACCTGGACAGGCTGGAGCCATGGGCTGAGCCCAACTTGGGGAGTTTCACTGAGGGCAAATGCCGGGGGCTGCCCTTGGGCCACAACAACCCCCAGGGGGGCTACAGGCTTGGGGAGGAGTGGCTGGAGAGCTGCCAGTCAGAGAGGGACCTGGGGGGGTGATTGACAGCTGGCTGACCAGGAGCCAGCAGTGTGCCCAGGGGGCCAAGAAGGCCAATGGCATCCTGGCTTGTGTCAGCACTAGCGTGGCCAGCAGGGACAGGGAAGGGATCTGACCCCTGTACTCGGCACTGGTGAGGCCACCTCTCGATTCCTGGGTTCAGTTTTGGGCCCCACACTACAAAAAGGACATTGAATGACTCGAGCGTGTCTGGAGAAGGACAACGGAGCTGGTGCAGGGTCTGGAGCACAGGTCTGCTGGGGAGCATCTGAGGGAACTGGGGGAGTTTAGTCTGGAGGAGGCTGAGGGGAGACCTCATCGCCCTCTACAGCTCCCTGACAGGAGGGTGCAGAGAGCTGGGGATGTCTCTTTAACCAAGTAATAAGTGATGGGACAAGAGGGAATGGCCTCAAGTTGCACCAGAGAAGGTTTAGACTGGGTGTTATGAAGGATTTCTTTTCAGAAGGGGTTGTTGGGTGTTGGAATGGGCTCCTCCAGTGGTGGAGTCCCCATCCCTGGAGGAGTTGAAGAGTTGGGTCGACATAGCGCTGAGGGCTCTGGTGTAGTTGGGAACTGTCAGTGTTGGGCTGATGGTTGGACTGGATGATCTTCAAGGTCTTTTCCAACCTAGATGATTCTGTGATTCTGTAAGCATAAAATAAGGAAAATACTGCATTTCAGTAAATACTACCCAGTAAAGATCTGCATATGGGCAAGTAGCTTGGATAGCACTTCTGAGTACATTATGAAGGGAGATGTTGCAAGGGAAGAAATTAGCCAAGGACATAAAGCAAAGACATTTGATAAAAAATTTTAAATAAACCCCAGAAGAAATAGGAGGCAGAAGGAAAAGTGTGTTATGAAATATGCTGATAAAAGTAAATTTCTAACCTTTTGTTTCCTTGAATGTCAATGTTTTTCCCCAGGAGCCCTTCCACATTCATATCCTGATAACCATCTTGGACAGCTTGATGTCAATGAATTGTTTGCTAAACTGCTGTCAACAGGGATCCTCAAACTGTCAAAAACTGATTCCACTTCAGCACGTATGTAGATCCTTTATGTTCTAACTTCTCAGTTTATCCACAGCTGAGCGTAAAGCTAAGTATAAGAACTTTTGTGAACTCCTGCATGTGTTTATTTTTTTTAAACTGAACTTTGGTTTTGGGAAGAAAATGAGTGCATGTGAGGGAGTAAATTCTTAGTATCTTGTTTATTTTGTACACTTTGGCTATCCAGAGCAGTCAGTTTTGTCTTTGATGTTGTGCCTGGATAACTTGTTCTTGATTATAATCCAGTTCTTACCAGTTTCTGAAACATTTCTGTGTCTTTGAATCAGAGACTGAATTCTGATACCAAAGACTGAGGTGAAATAACTGTTCTCCTAAATTGAAATTCTGAGTAACTTCCAGTATCTTGTACACTTTTAAAAATATTGTTAGAAGATCGACTTAGCTATTGCACACTTTTATTTTAGCATAGTCATATCATATTTATTAATATTTGAATAAAAATAACTTGCAGGAGCATGTCATTTCTTTATGATGATGTACTGAAAGTTTCATTAAATGGTTACTTTATGCTTTCTAGAAGTGAATGAAACATCAGCCCAGCCAGCTGCTGAAGAGGAAGATGATGACCAGAATGAAGATCAAAATGTTCCAGACCTCACTAACTTCATAGTTGAAGAACTCAGACAGTGCGTATAGCAGAATGGGTTTACAGTGCAGTAAGAATAGTGACATGGGAGTATCTAGATAGTTAATCCAAGACAGCTGAGAGCTTTTAAAAGTCACTTTGATTAAGAGGATCTGCAGTTTTTGATACTAGTTTGAGGGAGGAAAGAGAGGGAAAATTCATGTGGGAAAACTATCTTTACACAAATTGTATGTTGTTACTTAATCAGTAAGGCTGTGATACATATTTGTCAATTGTTTCTTCCTTTGTTACTACTAATTTTACCACCTTTATGGTAGTTTGCAAAGCTGAACGAAATGCAGGCGTTACCATTTTATGCACTATTAGGTGATGAAGCTAGTAGGCGTGACACAACACTAGCATGCTTCTCATGAGTATTAATATGAGCCCATTGTTTGTTATCGAAGTGCTTCAATTGATTGTGTCAATCACAATCAAATCAGGAAGAATTTAGCTGTATTGTGTGCTTTAAACTTGCAATAGATCCGTGCTTTTTCTCTACTCTTGTTGGCATATGAAACAACTTACTGAGAAATGTTTTCTAAGATATGTTAAGGCTTTCTTTTTTCTTTTTGTAGGCGTTATGATAGTGTTATAAATCGACTGTACACTGGCATTCAGTGTTATTCATGTGGAATGAGATTCACTACTTCACAGACAGATGTTTATGCGGATCATTTAGACTGGCATTATCGTCAGAACCGGACAGAAAAAGATGTTAGCAGAAAAATTACACACAGAAGATGGTACTACAGTTTAACAGTAAGTAATGCAGTAGGACACTTGAGAAATTATAGGCAGGATTCTGTGCTTTACTTATGTACCCGCTGTAGGATTGAAGTTGAAATTTGCATCATCACAGCAGTTGGCCTTTGGTAAACAGTGATGTCTTAGATATTTCAAGTAGTTCTCAAATGGCTGTCAAAATACAAAAGGCAACTGTATGATGAACAATAAACAGTTTGAAGCTCTTGGTACTGTTTTCGTCACACTGAGAATGGAATGGAAATTAGAGGATAGTGGTTTTTCTGGAGAAAGCCTTTTTTGAAGTGTAGTATTGTGAGAAAGCAGGCACTGTGCTAATGCTGCATGTGAAAAGCATTTCAGTTTTAACAAAGTAATATTAAATATGGTACTTCGGGGCTGTCTTTTTTTTTTTCCCCCGAGATTGATTTTTTTTTTAAATATTTCTGGCTATTTGTCAAGTGTCTGAGTGTGAATTAAAACTTCTTTTCCTCAGGACTGGATTGAATTTGAAGAAATAGCTGATCTAGAAGAGCGTGCAAAAAGCCAGTATTTTGAAAAAGTTAATGAAGAGGTTGTGTTGAAGACACAAGAAGCTGCGAAAGAGAAGGAGTTTCAGAGTGTCCCTGCTGGACCAGCTGGAGCAGTTGAGGTAAGTTTTCAGCTTGCCTTTATTAGCCTCAATACTGTGAATGATCTAATACTTCAAAGAAGTTTACAGCATTCTTTCATACAGTGGGCTGTATGTAGGTTGAAGTCTTGTTCTTGGACCTCTGCAGCCACTTCACAGGTGGTGTATTTGTGTATGTGATGGTTGTTGCCTGGGAGCAGACAGTAGTATAAATCACCTGTAGTTCAAAAAAATCTACACCCACTGGCACTCCATCGTTTTAGCAAAATGGAAATGGGCAAAGTGTGTTAATTTACTGAACATTTCCATAGAAAGAGTAAATAGAGCAAGTGAATTGGAAATGCTACTTTGTCATTCAAATAATGATTGGGTTTGCTGTATTTCTGATGCTTTGACACAGAGTAGAAGATGGGCATCAGGACAAAGAAATATCTCAGTGTTAAAGTAACCACTAGGTCTGTGTTTTGATAGATGAGTTGCTGTACTAATCACATAGAAATGTTGGTAGAATTACAATTTAGTTTTATGTGCAAGCCTCTAAGAAACTACTGATCAAGCCATGAAGGCCTCTGTTTTAATTTTAAAAAGTACCTTTTGTTCTCAGAGTTGATTATTTTGCACAGAAGTACTAAAAATGTTAATACTTCATCTAAAAGTTCTGCCTTTTTTAATTCGAGACTCTGTGTTAAGGGGAAGAGTGAAAATAATGCCATAAATAAAATTAACTAACTCCCTGTACTGGATTGTCCTATGTGACAGTAAAACAGTATTAGATTTTTCCAGAGTGTTTCATAGAGACTTTCCAGCTGAAAGGGCAAAGCTCACCTTTCTCAAGTGACAACAGTCTTCAAGGCCAGATGATGATCATTGCTCTGTCTGCAAACTATGCTCAAATAATTTATAATAAAAGATTTCTAAAGTTATTTTTAAAATGTGGAGGAAAGATCATATTGTAGTCTCAATGTACTTAATTTAAAAGACCCTTTTTTGACTGTTACTAGATTCTTGAAGTTCATGTGTTCAGTAAATTGTTGCAATAACCTCATTTATCTGTTATTCGAATAACTTTACAGAGCTGTGAAATTTGCCGGGAGCAATTTGAACAGTATTGGGATGAAGAAGAGGAAGAGTGGCACCTGAAGAATGCTATCAGAGTAGATGAAAAGGTAATTTGTTCTTACTTACATGTGATACTTAGAGTAAAAAATCCTACAGAATTATAGCAAAAATAAAGGGGGGGGCGCCAAGTGCTCTTTCTTTCCTGAAGGATTCCCATGGTAGTTTTTCTGCCTTCAAATACATAAATTTCTCAACCTTTGGAAGTGCGTGAAGTTCTGGTGTTGTTACTATAGGCTTACTAACCTTCCCTTGTACTGCAATACTAAAAGAAAATTGAATGTCTCTGTATATGGGTGTAGATATTGGTTCAATTATTTCTGTATGCAGCTGTACACAAGTTTAATTCCTAACACTTACCAGGCTTCTGTAGGATAACTTTTTGTAAATAAATATACACAAAATATTTTCCCAGTTATATTTGGCACCATACTTTGGCCTGCTCATACCATTGTTTTTCTAGACAAATTGTGTGGTATGTGTGATTGAAACTGTTCTGTTCGTAGCTAGTGATCCTGCTATAACGTGTAACAATTCTTTTTCAGATTTACCATCCATCTTGCTATGAAGATTACCAAAACGTAAGTGAATCCTTCATATTTTTGGAGGTATTTTGCTTTCAGTTTGTTTGCTTGATCTCTGGCTTTGCAGGGAGCAGATGTGTTCAGAATGTGCCTGTGAGTAGACAATGAATCAAAGGCCTTGGGCATGGCAAGTTTGTAATACAGAGTTAGCTAAGATGTATTTCTCCTTGTGATGGACCGTGACAGCTTGTGTGTCATACATGACTAAACCAAAACCATGGTTTGAAAACACATCATTTATTTTTGAGTAATGTGTGTAATCTTAGGAATTTGCAAAAATTAAGTAAATGGTTGTGCAGTCTGTTTTTAAGGCTTTGGGAGTTACAGCTCCCCTGGGGATAGCAGAGAATAGATTCTAGCAATGTGTTAAGCAATGTTTCATCAGTGCTTGGATGATACCTTTTCAAATTAAGTGTGAAAAAGTTGTTAAAGAATAAATTTGTTTTCTTAGGATCTTGATAAAGTAGAAGTTTCGATTTTGAATGCTTAACTATCAACATGCTTGCATTTTCAGAAAAAGGATAAGAAGCTAAAATCAGTTATTTTATTGTGTGTTAATGCTACATTGACATTGACTTTGCAGACATCATCATTTGATTGCACACCATCTCCCAGCAAGACTCCTGTAGAAAATCCACTAAATATAATGTTGAACATTGTTAAACAAGAAACACAAGAGTCCTGTGACTCACCTAAAGTCAAAGAAGAACCTGATGACACCCCTACTGCCTGTGCAGAAGAGAGCACACCTGCATCTACAGATATTAAAACAGAACCTGATGAGTCTATTTAAACAAACTGAGGTATGATTGTTTTTTTTACAGAAGAGCTGCTGTGTTAACTCTGGAAGGCAAATACTTTTTATATGAAATAAAATCGTTCAAACTGAGGCAGGGCCTCAACTACTGTTTTGTTAATAAATACATTTTTGTATTTGAATTTCTTATTGCCTGCACAGTTTCAGGTGTCATTGTGTGAAAGTTCTGTGGATGCGTGAAAATTTAATGGAATGAAATGGTATATGTAAAAATGTACAATTTTCACTTGTGGAAATGTAAATTATAAATAAAAGATATTTTTGCTATATATGGAGTGTAATGTTTATGCACACCATCAAATGAAGACAGTGTTTCTGTACTTTTTTCAGTTTAAATGGAATTAAAAAGAACTTTTGCTCAGTAAGATTCAGAAAAATTAAGTAACTTCTTTCAGTTATCCCATAGGTGGGTTATCAAGGGGAATCAGCGCAAAACTTCAGACAACCTTAGCTTTATTTTCTTTTCTTTTTAAACTTATTTAAACAAGCTTACATATCCAGATATATTTAAAAAAAAATAACCAAAAAGACAGTTCTTGGGTAGAAGGGGAAAATTTAACAAACCAACTGGAGTGCTTGATTGTGAACACAAGTGCCAACAACCAATTAACAAACCAGGATGCCTGGTAGTTAAGACATTTTTAATAATTTTTTTCCATTAGTCAGACACATAAGAATTTAATACAGCTGAACAAACTTTTCTTTACATGACAGGGGGGAATGAATGTAAGAATGCTCATTTGAAACATAGTTAACTTTTTTTTTTGTTGCTTATGACTGGACTTAGATGGTAAACCAGATAACCTGAGATGTTAATATTTCTTAAATGTAATAAATAAAATTAAGCATATATTTGAGTGTGAGTCTCTTCCTTTCAGTAATGGGTTTGTGTGGCTGGCATGTTTGTGGGATTGTGTTTTAGGACAATATGCATTTAATGTTGTTTTCACTGCCATATGTCCAGTGAATATTTTTCAAGCTGCTGGGAGCAAGACATAAGCCCAAAAGTCAGTGTAGCAGTCCTAGTGTATTACTCTTGCGGCCAGGATACTCGGGAGACCAAAATTCAAAATCAGCTGTGAAGGTGATTTTGCTGTTGGCTGCAGCACTTCTTCCCATCTTCCCAACCAGGCTCCAAGCAGTTCTTAAGATGTGAATTTAATTCCTTGACACTCTTATTAAGGGTTGTGGCCATAGTTGTGAGTGTGCTTTGTTTTAAATGTCAACCTTAAAAATACAGAGGAACAAAAAAAAGACATTAATCACAGATAAATCACTCCTCCTGATGGTGTGTGTGGCTGCTGGCTGTGCTGTAGGGAGTTACTTCTGTGTTACTTTCTTCCTGGAACAGGGATGTAGGCTTGACCCAGCTGATACTTTGTGTTCTGCAACACTGTAAACGAATTGAAATTCAGAGGAGACTGAGCGGTGATGGCAGGTCTCTAAACATGTAGAAGGCTGTAAGAAAAAGGGAGTAAAATGCTCTACTAGGGCTAGATACAACAAAGAGACCTGTAAGTTGCAGCAAGAGGATTTACGACGATTCTCTTAGTGATAAGGAGAGTTCTCTCTACATGGAGCTTCCTTGATCCGTGTAATTATCAACGTGCACCTGTCAATCTGAGTGCGAAGGGTTCCTCCTGCCGTCAAGCAGGACTCTGGAAATGCAGGGTGCTTCACCCCATGGAAGGAACCTGTCTCAGCCAGGGCACCAGCTGGTTTTGGCTAAAGGGGCTGAGGAGCAGGACTGTAACTGCAGGAAAAAAAAACCCTCTAGCCATCCGCGGGCAACTATCGCAGCTCCTACGGGTGACTCCTCCCTCCACATGAGGGGCAGTCTCCCCTCCCCGAGGGAGAGCGGGCTCCGCCGCCCCCTCCCCGTGGGCTCGGCGGGCCCGGGGTAAGCGCACACTGTGCCCGCTGCAACTCTGCTGTGGCGTCGGGCGCTGGGAGAGGAGGAGGGCGAGGAGGAGAAGGAGGAGAGGAGGAAGGAGAGGGTGCGGCGATAAGGGCGGACTCCCGGCCCGTGCGCTGTGAGGCGCCGCCCTGCCCACGGCCGCCGCCGCGCGGTGCGATGGGCGCTGCCGAGCTCCTCCTCCCCCT